GCAAAATGGTACAGCCCCTAAAATTATAGATGTATTTACCCATACGTCTAGCAATCCGTCTTGTAGGAATCTTCCTTTGGATTCTTCTACCCATGTATGAAGAAGACATGTCCAAGAGTATTTAGTGTGGTATTCTTATGCTAAAAAACGTAGACATAACCTACGTGATCAGCCCTACAAGACAAACAGTGGTACAGCCACATGATGGAGTATTCAGCTGCAAAGTTGAAGGTACTAACATGGGAAGATTTCCAGCGCATCTTGTTACACGATAAAAAAAAATAAGATGTCTGCAGAACAGTGTGCAGACTTCTTTGAACTTGTATTTGTATAAAGAAATACTGTGGTGGGGCGCCTGGGTGGCTCAGTTGGTTAAGCATCTGACTTCGGCTCAGGTCATGATCTCCCGGTCCGTGGGTTCGAGCCCCGCATCAGGCTCTGTGCTGACAGCTCAGAGCCTGGAGCCTGTTTCTGATTCTGTGTCTCCCTCTCTCTCTGACCCTTCCCCGTTCATGCTGTCTCTCCCTGTCTCAAAAATAAATAAACGTTAAAAAAAAAATTAAAAAAAAAAAAAAAAGAAATACTGTGGTAATATACCTGCAGGGAAGAGCCTTGAAAGGGTAGATGGAATCTGGGGACAAATGAGATTTCACAGTGTATTTTTTTTTTTATACAATTTAGATATTTGAGCCATGTAATATATTATGCATTTAAACATAATAAAAAGAAACCTCTAGCTTTAACTTCGCAAGAATATATGGATTTTCTTGACTGAATTAGCCTGATTCTAATAAAAACCTATAAAGCAATAGCCACCTGCATTAGCTTTTCCTAAAGCACACTACTCTGTCAAGAAGGAAAATTAACTGTGTTTGATGGTGGATGGAAACAAAATAATTTAGGAGTTCCTTTTCTTTAGCCTCTAATTCCTCTGGGGAGGATTACTGTCATTACAACAGCTTTGTCATCCACAACAGATGGATTTTATTATGTATATATTTGTTTTCCTTTTTTTTTTTTTAATTTTTATTTATTTTGAGAGTGAGCGAGTAGGGGAGGGGCAGAGAGAGAGAGAATCTGAAACAGGCTCTGGCCTGTCAGTGCAGAGTCTGATGCAGGGCTTGAACACATGAACCGTGAGATCCTGACCTGAGCCAAAACCAAGAGTCGGACACGTAACTGACTGAGCCACCCAGGCGCCCCAAGTTATGTTTTTTAATGGCAAGTCTGATTTGGCTTTTTCAGAAACCTGTTTGACCTGAAGGGAAGTTAGTGAACTCCCTTTCATGTTATACCAGAAAAGAATAGAAATTATAAAACTAGAGATGCAGATACCAATGGTGTATATACTGAGGCAGATTCTGCTGTGGCTCTGCTCTTGGACAAGCAGGATGAATTCCCACAGATCATTGGGGAGACCTTATTTTGTTAAAGGCTCTTTCTGTACATTCGGCAAAATAAATCTTGCACGCTACCCTGGATCCACTTTCAGCAGGTATGTCCCCCACCAATCTGCTTCCTCCTGAATTTCCTTTCTTGGTACCTGGCATCTCTATCTCCTTGGCCAACCCACACCTGACATACCTGGAGACCATCCTTTGGAGTCCCTTTCCATACCACCCTCACATCCAACCAGAGTTCAGGGGAAACCACCAAATCAGCATCTTTTCTATCCTTACACCGATGACATAGTTCAGTATAACCATTTGACGTCCATCTCTAATCTTTTTCCCTCCCAGCTGGTTTCCTGTTTTGCTTCCGGAAGATCTTGCTAACGGTCCACTCTTGATTGCATTGCTCCCTGTACAACCCCTCTGATGGCTCCTGCTGCTCTGGCCCCCAGCAAGGGAGGCACGGCTTGCATGGCCTGGACCAAGGCTTCCTCATCCCTGTCCTTTGCCCTTCTCTGCTCTAGAACCGTGCACTCCAATGAGAGAACCAATCCCAGAGCTTGAAAGGTAATTCTGTATCTGTCAAGCAAGCGGTGATGGGTATACTTACACAAAATGATGTCTCGTGGACCATGATGAGCTTGTCAGTCACAAATCTTGCCATGCACGATCTTCCCCACCCCTTCCACCACCTCCTGCAAATGCCAGGCTTTTATAATTGCTGATCCTCTGCCTGTTTCTACTTAGTCAACAAAATGCAGTTGGATCCTGTGTACTTCAGGAGGACTTCTCTGACCGTATGCTTCTCTCCAGTTGGATTTAGAACCCTTTTCTTGGTTCATTTCTTATGACAATGTCAATATCTAGCATAAACCCTAGCTGTTTATGTTTCTATCTGGCCACCAAACTAGTAGCTCATCAAGGAGAGAGATTACTTTATATATTTATTGAAGTATAGTTGACACCCACTGTTATATTAGTTTCAGATGTATAGTATATGATTTGACAACTCTATGCACACCACAACTGTAGCTACTGCCTGTCACCATACAAGGCTTTTGCAATACCATTGACTATATTCCTTTTGCTGTACCTTTCATCCCTGTGACTTATTCTATAGCTGGAAGCCTGTAGCTTCCACTCCCCTTCATCCATCTCCCTACCCCACCCCTCTGGCAACCATCAGTTTGTTCTCTGTGTTATGGGTCTGTTTCTGCTTTTGTTTGTTTATTTGATTCCACATATAAGTGAAATCCTCTGGTTATTTGCCTTTGTCTGATTTACTGAACCTAATACCCTCTAGGTCCCTCCATGTTGTTGCAAATGGCAAGATCTCATTCTTTTTTATGGCTGAGTATTATTCCATCACACACACACACACACACACACACACACACACACACACACACACCACATCTTGTTTATTCATTTGTCTGTCAGGGGACACTTGGGTTGCTTCCATATCTTGGCTGTTGTAAATGCTGCAGTAAACATAGGGTGCATATATCTTTTCAAATTAGCATTTTTGTTTTGAGTAAATTCCAGTAGTGGGATTACTGGATCATATGGTGTTTCTATTTTTAATATTTTGAGGGAGCTGCATATTGTTTTCCACAGCAGCTGCACCAATTTACATTCCCACCAAGAGTGCATGAGGGCTCCTTTTTCTCCACATCCTCACTATCACTTATTACTTCTTGTCTTTTTGATTCTAGCCATTCTGAGTGGTGTGAAGTGATATCTTATTATAGTTTTGATTTGCATTTTCCTAGTAATTAGTGCTGTTGAGCATCTTTTCATGTGTCTGTTGGCCATCTGTGTAGAGATAGATTACTTTTTGTATCAGTATCCTAAGTGCTTAACGCAAGTACCTGTGTGTAGTAGGCACTTAAGGACAATTAGTGAATGATTCAGGAAATGTTTCAATAAGTGAATGAGTGCTCAGCACAAGCAAGCAATTTAATATAGTGAGAGATGAATTACAGATGAGAGTCTGAGCATAGGGACTTTTCCTTTCTTGCTGTTCACTGTTTATCAAAAAGTAACTTTTTATGTTTTAGAACACTTTCCTTAAATGTTTCTTACTGTTAATACACAAGAACATAGGGAGCCACACAATAATCAGAGAAAAGGCACTTGAGAGAAGGGCGAGTGATAAGTAAGGCAAACATTTTCTGATGTCCTAGAGGAGGTTCATGTTAAAGCAAGCAGGTTCAACTAGTTAATGTCTAAGACTAATCCCAGCTCTCAAACTCTGTGATTTTCTATCTGTGTGACTGCCAGACACAAGGGTACAAATACAAATAAACCACATTTCTTATCCATTGGATAATTTAATCTTTGAGCATGGATAATTAAAAAAAAACCACCTTATTTCACTTGTGCTTTTTTTGAGTAATAATTACATGTGTGTGTATTTATGTGTATGCACATATATATATTCGTGTGTATATGTGTGTGTATATAGTCTATACGTATATAACTAGGTGCAATTTATATATTGTGAGTTGTTAATAACATTTGCCCATATTTCTATTACAGTGTTTTAAAAACAATTTGTAAAAGATTTTTTTACAAGTATTTTTTATAAGTATTCTAGTTTTTTTTTATAAATATTGTAAGTATTTTCTCAGTTTTCTGTTTGTCTTCCTAAAGGCCTTTCTCATCCTACAATTGAACAAATATTTGTATTTTTAACTAGTATTTCTATAGTTTCATTTTTCCTCAAAAACCCTCCAATCCATTGAGAATTTTCTCTTGTGTATGGCATGAGCTGGGAATCTGGCTGTATATATTTTTTCAGATGATAAGCCCATTCTTCTGACACCATTTATGGAATAGTCTATACTTCTTCTACTGAATACAGTATTTTATATCTTCCAGGGTGTTTCTTCTTTTTCCCCACAGCTGAAGAGTGACGAGGTCTTCATTTCTGAATTAAAAAGTAATAGTTCCTTTCCATTTGTGAATAGGGGAAATCACACAGTGTGGAGAAAAAGCACATTGACCCTTCAAAGAAGAGGTCCTACCTTTGTATCTTACAAATTAGGGTTGTCAGTATGTTGGTCAACAAATATTCCCATGTGTCTGACTTCTAGATATATTTCCTGACCATTGTGGCTGGCTCAGCCCGTATGACTGCTTCTGATGAATTGTGAGTGAACATGTTCTGTGTCAGTTTGAGGCCAGAGCATGTAATTGCTGGTGTGAACTCTTTCCTGTTGGGTGATGATTGATAGTATTCAAGAAGGAGGCTTCCCCTTTAGTCTGGACCCTTGAATGACTACAATGGCAAAAGTTTTCTTGTCCTCCTGTGTTGGAAGTGTAGCGTGGCCCATAGATAAACCTTTCTTGTTATAAGCCACTAATATTTGGAACTTATTTTTTTCTGAAGCACAACCTAGCCTATCTTCACTTACACACCTGTTCTCTTTCAGTATTCAATTTAATTTTTTGTCATCAACTGAACTCACACTAGTTTTGTAGGGAGGAGATAGGATTGACACTAGGGAGAAATAAGGCAATTTTAGAAAAAAAATAGGTGAGATAATAACTTCCTATTTAATTTGGGGGTAACTTTTTTTTTCCAGGTAATCTGGGGCTCTCATCATGTTTGCCAAAGCAACAAGGAATTTTCTTAAAGAAGTTGATTCTGGAGGTGACCTGATTCCAGTATCAACCTTGAATGACTCTGATAAATTACAGCTTCTAGGTCTGGTGACCAAAAAAAAGAGACTCTGGTGCTGGCAGAGACCCAAGTACCAGTTTTTATCTGTCACCCTTGGAGATGTGCTTACAGGAGACCAGTTTCGGAGTCCAGGTAGGTTCCTTTGGGTATATGCTACAGTTAGTTCCAGAAAGATGATGATTCATCTTCTAGGTTACATGCGGTCTTGAGTGATTGTAAGGTGACATCTTATAATGAATTCTCCTGTTTCTTTGCATACTGTTCTTAGAGATATACCCTTTCTTTAAATGAACAAAATTCTACAGGGCAGATGTGAAAAGTTATAGCTTAAGTTTTAAAAAATAATATTGAAGTTTGTGATGTAAAATTAAAACATGTAAAATTAAGGCCCACCGTAGGTGTTGTGGCCACTGAGCATAAATAGTTTGATTCAGATCCTACATATCCAATGGGAGGGTGTGAAAAGTTTTATTACTCACATAATGAAGCTATCTGGGGAGACCGGGATAGGCTCTCAAGCTGGTCCAGAAATAGCTGGAGAAGAGGGGAGATAAAGTGGTAGAATTTCTGTGTAGCACTTTGTATAACCTAAGTCTTCCATTTATCAGAAAATGACATTGTTCTGGCCTAAATCCAGTAGATACATTGAGTATTTGCTATGTGCCAGGCTTTGCATTATGTGATTTAGGTACATCAACTTGTAACAGAATTCATCAGGAAGGCATTATCTCCAAATTAGATATGAGAAAACTGAGGCTCAGGGAGATGAATTTTAGCCAGTTCTTCTAGCTAGGAATATTAGAATAGTGATTACAATCTTGAGCTCTTAACAACTGTTCTATGCTGCTCCCCTAAGAATTTCCCAAAGTGTTTGTATTCCATAGGATACAAATAAAATAGGAAAAGCCTTTGAATTGAGGGCATTTTCACAGTCTTCTTATTTTTGGTGGTGGTGAGAGAGATGATTCTCTGTTTTGTAAATTGCAAAGATAATGATGGGTGATTAATTCTCATTAACCTTTGTTGAGGAACGAGCTTTCTTGACTGGAGTGAAAGAAATACAGGTGTTGGGGGCAGTGAGTGGTTAGAAAGAAGCCTTTCAGACTTCAGGAAGATTGGAATGCCTTATGAAGTATAAGAGTATAAGTATAAGGAGCCCAGGTGAACCTTGGGGCAGAGAAATGAAAAAAGCCCAGTGTGAAGTTCTAAAGAGCCTCTAAGTGTAGCCATACCCAATGACAGTGACTGAGACTATTTTTATGGTGGTATTTGGTTGGATTAGAGATGAGAACACTAGAAATCTGGAGACATGAGGCTGGCAATTCAGAGATGAAATCATCAGATGTTTATCTTTAGTGTCCAGAAAAGAAGGGTAGAGCTTGAAGGCAATGGGATAGCCATCTGGATGTGACCAGATGAGATAGTAATTCATGGAGGACTTGATGGAAGCTGGGACACTTGGTGGGTGGTGGCATCTTCCTAAGTCTGGGAAGCCGGAAAGTAAGGGTAGAGAATCTGGTGTTCCAGGTTGGTGTTGGAGGGAGGGAGGGAGGGCAGGCATGACAACTGACTTTATCAAGAATAGAGATAAGGTATGATAAGGAATTAAATGGCTGGGTAGAGGTCAGTATAAACAGGTAAGTGTGGGGAGGGGAATTTTTTTCATAGAGATGGTAATGAAGGCCCAGGGAATGTTCTCTAAGATGGGTGGGAAGGGAAGGGAAGATGCCCAGGGTCTACTTGGCTGACCTGCTAGATATCACATAAGGCAGACCTCTCTGTTGTGAGCGGAGGCTGCTGTTTTCACTCTGCTTAGGTATCAACCGCATGAAGTCCCTTTATAGTCTTTACCCTGGAAAAGTACACATTTAAAATATTCTATTTTATAATCTGGATAGTGTTTAAATGGATGCTTGCTTGAAATTTTATTTATTTTTAAGTAATCTCTATGCCCAACAATGTGGGGCTAAAACTCACAACCCTGAGATCAAGAGTCGCATGCTCTTTTGACTGAGCCAGCCAGGCACCCCTGGATGCTTGCTTCAACATTATTCGTTAAAATCTTTAGATACTTTTTGTGCACCTATCTATATACGTATATATTGGAATTGAAATCCAAAAACAAAAAACAAACAAAAAAAGCACCTGGTAGAAACCCTGGCCAACAGTTCACATCGTACTGGCTCCATTTTCCTTTTCACATACACAGCATGGCTGCCAGACTTCCAGTTTGAATGCAAACTTCATGTTTCTCATGGATTTCCACAGGACTGGAAAGGTAGGTGACCTAAGGCAGAGAGGTGGCCGTATTATCATCAGACTCCTTTGCATGTCTCATTCTCTCCAGCGGTTGTGGAGTCGGACTTTGTGAAATATGAGGGCAAGTTTCAAAACCAGCTGAGTGGGTCCATCGAGACGGCACTAGGGAAGGTCAAGCTGAGTATTGGAGGCAAAGGCCTTGTGGAAAGGCAGTCTTCATTTGGAACCCTGAGGAAGCAGGAGGTGGATTTGCAGCAGCTCATGAGAGATTCCACTCACAGGTAATGAGAATTCTGTTTGGCATTTTGGATTTTGACATGTGTCCCATTTAAAGGTCATTCATTTGGACCTTTGTAAAAAGGGTGACCGATGGGAACTTCGCCCCAAAGCAAACATTATTGAATGCCTGTCATGCTGAAACTTGACGAGAACTTATCTTTTACTCTGGAATTTCTTTATTTTTAGTGTGAGTGGTGAGACCTGGAAAGCACCATTTTTTTAAAAAATAAGGTATAATTAATATATAACGTTGTATTGTTTCAGGTGTACAGCATAATGATTTGCTATTTGTCTATATTGCAAAATGATCACCACAGTAAGTCTAGGTAATACCTGTCACCGTGCATAGTTGTAAATACAATTTTTCCTGTGATGAGAAATTTTCAGATTTATTCTCTTAGCAACTTTCAAGCAGGCAATACAGAATTATTCACTATAGTCCTTGTACTGTGAGTTACATCCCCATGACTTATTTATTTCATAACTGCAGGTTTGTACCTTTTGATCTTCTTTACCCAATTTACCTACCCCTCACCCTCTACCTCCAGTAATCACTAATATAGTCTCTATATGTATGAGCTCATTTGTTGTGATTCCATATATAAGTGAGATCATGCTGTATTTGTCTTTGTCTGACTTAGTTCACTTAGCGTAATGCCTTCAAGGTCCATCCGTGTTGTTGCAGATGGCAAGATTTCCTTCTTATATGTGGCTGAATAATATTCCATTGTATATGTATTAAGTTAGGTTCCTGACGGATTCCAACAGTGTCTGAGAATTCAACTCAATGCTGACACTATCTACTTAAAGATAGTATCAGATTCACAGGTGAAAGATTCAGTCCTAAAAGACTGCCTTCAACCCTTACTCTGTATCAGATGCCAGCAGCAAGCCCAGGCTGTTAGTTATGCTTCTGACCACCTGGCTACAGATTGGAGGTTCCCGTGACCTCCTCCTTGGACTTTAGATGCCATTCACACGTCTAAGTTATTACCTGTACTTCTGGCCAACTGGCTAAAAACCAGATTCCTATGATTCCTTTCTTGAGTTCAATTAATTTGTTAGAGAAGCTAACAGAACTTGGTAACATTTTACATACTAGGTCACTGGTTTATTATAAAAGGATATAACTTAGGAACAGCCTAGTAGAAGGGATACATAGGGTTGGGTGGGAGAAAAGGGCGTGGAGCCTCCATGCTCTCTCCAGGTCACCACTCTTTCCAAATCTTCACGTGTTCACTAATCTGGAAACTCTCTGAATGCTGTCTGGGTTTTTAGGGAGGCTTTATTACATAGGCATGATTGATTAAATCATCATCGGCCTGTGATGACTGATTCAACCTTCAGCCCCTCTCCCCACCCTAGAGATTGGGGTGGGGGTACTGAAAGTTAAAATCTTGTAATTACACTGTTGGCTCCCCAGGTAACCAGACCCCATCTTTAGGTTAACTAAGGGCTTTCCAAAAGCCACTTCTATCCCTCTTACCACAGGAAATTCCAAGGGTTTTAGGAGCTCTATGCCAGAAACTGGATTAAAGACCAAGTTTAAAGACTATATATTTCTTACTATAAATCACAATATAACATATATGCCCTATTTTCTTATCTATTCATCCATATATGGACACTTAGATTGTTTCTATATCTTGGCTGTTGTAAATAATGCTGCAGTGAACATGGAGTGCAGATTGTTTAAATACTTTACATAAATACCCGCAAGTGAAATTTCTGGACTATATGGTAGTTCTATTTAAAATTTTTGAGGGACCTTCATACTGTTTTTCATAGTGGTGGCACCAGTTCATGACTCCACCAACAGAGCCAAGGTTCCCATTTCTCCACATCCCCTCCAACTCTTGTTATTTCTTGCCTTTTTGATATTAGCTATTCTAACAGGTGGGAGGTGATATATCATTGTGGTTTTGATTTGCAGTTCCTTGATGATTAGTGGTGACAAGCATCTTTTCATGTGGCCATTGGCTATCTGTAGGTCTTCTTTGGAAAAATATCTATTCAGATCTGCCCATTTAAAAAATTGGATTTCTTTTTTGCTATTGAATTGTATGAGCTCTTTATTTTATATATTAACCCTGTATCAGGTATGTGATTTGCAAATATTTTTTCCCATTCAGTAGGTTGCTTTTTCATTTTGGTGATGGTTTCCTTTGCTGTGCAGAAGATTTTTAGTTTAGATGTAGTCCCACTTGTTTATTTTTATGTTTGTTGCTTTTGCTTTTGGTGTCAGATTCAAAAAGTCATCGCCAAGACCAATGCCAGGGAACTTACCACCTATGTTTTCTTCTAGGACTTTTATGGTTTCTGGTGTAACATTCAAATCTTTAACCCATTTCAGTTAATTAAAAAAAATTTTTTTTTAATCTTTATTTTTGAGAGAGACAGTGAGACAGAGTGTGAGTGGGGGAGGGGCACAGAGAGGGAGACACAGAATCTGAAGCAGGCTCCAGGCTCCGAGCTGTCAGCATAGAGCCTGATGCAGGGCTCGAATTCAAGAACCGTGAGATTGTGACCTGAACTGCAGACGCCCAACCAACTGTGACACCCAGGCATCCCTTGAGTTAATTTTTGTGTATGGTGTAAGATAGTGGTCCAGATTTATTCTTTTGCATGTGACTGTCCAGTTTTCCCCACACCATTTATTGAAGAGACTGTTCTTTCTCCATCGTATATTCTTGGCTCCCTTGTAATTAATTAAATGACCACATATGTATGCATAGGTTTATTTCTGGGCTCTCTATTCTGTTCCATTGATCTATATGTCTGTTCTTACACCAGTACCATACTGTTTTGATTACTGCAGTTTTGTAATATAGTTTGAAATGAGGCCATGTGATGCCTCCAGCTTTGTTCTTCTTTTTTTAAGATTGCTTTGGCTACTCAGGGACTTTTCTGGTTCCATTTAAATTTTAGAATTGTTTTTTCTGTTTCTGTGATAAGTGCATTGGAATTTGATGGGAATTACATTAAATCTGTAGATTGTTTTGGGTAGTAGGGACATTTTAACAGTATCTTCCAATCTGTTAACACAGAATATCTTATTTATTTCTTTTTCAACTTATTTTATCAGTGTCTTACAGTTTTCAGTGTACAGAATATTCACCTTCTTAAATTTATTCTAAAGTGTTTTATTTTTATGCAATTATAAATGGAATTGTTTTCTTAATTTCTCTTTTTGAATGTTCATTATTAGTGTATAGAAATGCAACAGATTTTTACGTATAGATTTTGTATCCTGGAACTTCACTGAATTTATTAGTTCTAACAGTTTTTTGGTGGAGTTTTTAGGGCTGTCTCTGTAATGTCATGTCATATGCAAATAGTGGTAGTTTTACTTCTTCCTTTCCTGTTTGGATGCATTTTATTTCTTTTCCTTGCCTCATCACTCTGGTTTGGACTTCCCAGACTATGTTGAGTAAAGTGGTGAGAGTGGGCATCTTTGCCTTGTTCCTGCTCTTACAGGTAAAGCTTCCAGATTTTCACTGTTGAGTATGATGTTAGCTGTGAGCTTGTCATATATGGCCTTTTACATTGAGGTATGTTCCCTCTGTACCTACTTTGTTGAGAGGTGTTCTCATAAAGGGATGCTGAATTTTGTCGACAGTGCTTTTTTTGCACCTATTGCAATAATTGATCATATTGATCATATTGTTACCTTACATTTGGTGAAGGTGGTGTATCACATCGATTGATTCATGCATATTGAACCATTCTTGTATCCCTGGTGTAAATCCCACTTGATGATTATGTATTATCCTTTAATGTGGTGTTTTATTTGGTTTGCTAATATTTTGTTGAAGATATATGCATCTATGTCCATCATGGATATTGGCCTGTAATTTTTTTCTTTTTTTAAACTGAGGTATAATTGACATGCAACATTATATTAGTTTCAAGTGTACAACATAAAGATTTGGTATTTGTATACATTGTGAAATGATCACCACAATAAGTCTTGTTAATATCTGTTACCCTAGTGGCATATAATTTTCTTTTCTGTGGTGTTGTTGTCTACGTTCTGTATCAGGGTAATGCTGGCATCATAAAATGAGTTTGGAAGTGTGTTCTCTTCTATTATTTGTAAGAATTTGAAAAGGATTGCTATTCTTTAAATGTTTGGTAGAATTCACCCATGGAGTTATCTGGTCCTGGACTTGTGTTTGTTGGGAGATTTTGAATACTACTACAATCTCCTTATTAGTAATTGGTCTGTTTAGATTTTTACTTTTTTTCCTGGTTCAGTCTTGGTAGGTTGTATGTTTCTAGGTATTCGTTTCTTCTGGGTTGTCCCATTTGTTGGCATATAATTGTTCATTGTAGTCTTTTATGATCCTTTGTGTTTCTGTGGTACCAGTTGTAATACCTTCTCTTTGATTTCTGATTTTATTTGAATCCTTTTCTTGGTGAGTCTAGCTACAAGTTTTTCAATTTTGTCTATCTTTCCAAAGAACCAGCCGATAATTTCATGGATCTTTTCTGTTGTCTTATTGGTCCCTATTTCATTTATTTCTGCTCTGATTTTGTTATTTCCATTCTTCTCTTAAGTTTGGGCTTTGTTCTTTTTCTAGTTCCTTGAGGTGTAATGTTAAGTTGTTTGTTTGGGATCTTGTTTCTTGAAGTGTAGGCATTTATTGATAATTATTTCCCTCTTAGAACTGCTTTTGTTGCATCCCATAAGTTTTGATGTGTTGTATTTCTGTTTTCATTTGTCTCAAGGTATTTTTTTTGTCTTTTGATTCATTTTTGACCCATTGGTTGTTCCATAGCATGTCATTTAATTTCCACATAATGGTGAATTTTCCAGTTTTCTTCTGGTAATTGGTTTTATCATAATGGTCAAAACAGATTCTTGATAAATTTACTAAGACTGGTGGCCTAACTTCTGGTCTATCCTTGAGAATGTCCCAGATGCACTTGAGAGGAATGTGTATTCTGCCGCTTTTGGATAGAATGTTCTGTATGTATCTGTTAAGTTCTTCTGGTCTAA